CTTTGAACTGGAAAATGGCCCACTTCCCACTGGTGAAAACTCATGAAATTTGGCAGGACGACCGGGCCTGGTGAAAAATTCGATATTCTGAAGTCGCCCAAACAATAAAATGCAAAATGGCTCCATAGCGCCCCCTAAGGTGGAAATTCACACTATTGACTGTCACGCCTGTACGCTTTGTCATATTGACACAAAAATTGACACACATATGTATCTCAATAAGATCTACAAAAAAGTCAGTGCGGCCGTATCTGTCAAAATTACGGTTAAAGGGTTATTTCGCATTTTTTGCCGATCCGCACACATTGGAATTTCGCTAACTCCTCCGAAGGCTTTCGTTCCACCGGCACCACATTTGCTCAGGCCAATCTACACCCCGTGGCCATTAAAAGTTATCAAAATCATGACGCTGCACCCCAAGGTTTAGGTTCTAGGGGGCGCCAAAGATAACACTAAAATCCACATATTTAAAAGTCTTATAACTTTTTATTTTTGTCCTCACTGGCCTCCAAGTTTTCTAAGATGATGCAATGTCCAGCCATCAACACATTTGTGAAGGAATTTTTACTCCCCAAAAGAGCGCCCCCCCATGGCAGGAGAAAAAAGTCCATTTTTTCTTGTCCCCTAAGGTGAAAATACACATTGTTGAGTGTCACGCCTATACGCTTTGTCAAAATGACACAAAAATTGACACACACATGTAACTCAATAAGATCTACAAAAAAGTCCATGCGCGCGTATCTGTCAAATGTACAGTTAAAGGGTTATTCCGCATTTTTTGCCGATCCGCACACATTGGAATTTCGCTAACTCCTCCGAAGGCTTTCGTTCCACCGGCACCACATTTGCTCAGGCCAATCTACACCCCATGGCCATTAAAAGTTATTCAAATCATGATGCTGCACCCCATGGTTTAGGTTCTAGGGGGCGCCAAAAATAACCCAAAAATCCACATTCTTAAATGTTTTATAACTTTTTATTTTTGTCCTCACTGGCCTCCAAGTTTTCTAGGATGATGCAATGTCCAGCCATCAACACATTTGTGAAGGAATTTTTACTCCCCAAAAGAGCGCCCCCCCATGGTAGGAGAAAAAAGTCAATTTTTTCTTGTCCCCTTACATAAAAATACACATTGTTGAGTGTCACGCCTGAACGCTTTGTCATATTGACACAAAAATTGACAATCATGTGTATCTCAATTAGATCTACGAAAAAGTCAAAGAGCGCGTATCTGTATAATGTACGGTTAAAGGGCTATTTTGCATTTTTTGCCGATTCGCACACATTGGAATGTGGCTATCTCCTCCTAAGGCTTTCGTCCCACCGATACCAAATTTGCTCAGGGCAATCTACACCCCATGCCCATTCAAAGTTGTAAAAATCATGACGCTGCACCCCACGGTTTACGTTCTAGGGGGCGCCAAGGATGACCCAAAAATCCACATTCTTAAAAGTCATTTTGGCCACTGCAGGAGTACAGAGTACTGCAGTTCTAGGGGGCGCCAAAGATGACCCAAAAATCCACATTCTTAAAAGTCTTTTTGGCCACTGCAGGAGTACAGAGTACTGCAGGATACACACACATATACACACACGCCAACACACACACACACACACACACACACACACACACACACACACACACACACACACAGACACACACACACACTCAGAGTCTGTTTTTTAGCACCTGCAAAAACATGCTGTTTACATATTTGACAAGAATGCAGAGGCTTCCTTTTGCCCCTGAAAAAAATCTAATTTCAAACACAACTTGACTGTTCATTTCTCCAAAAGACAACCATGAAGCTCCATTTCAAACCTGAAGCAGATAGTTGGTGCATGTGTACAGTAACCTGAGGGGAGTGAGGTGACTATTTCTGAGGAGAACATGAGCAGTGAAGATTCACCTTGGAGCTAGAACAGAGACATGCACATGATTATACAGGGGCAGGGGCTCAAGTTTTTTCCAGTCGTTTATACAATATGGAAATTAATGTGAAATTAAAACACAAAGTATTAATAGAAAGGTAATGACTGTCCTGTGTAGGTGACAGTGATATCCAATAGGCTAGGCACTCACGAGGCTGGCTGTGGCAAGTGTAAGTGAAAGCAACACGCACTGGCAGGAAGAACAGCAAACGCCGATGAAGGAAAAGGGTCTTTGCAGTGATGGGCGTTAACAGAGAGGGCGATGGCCAGAGGACACAAATGGGACGGGGAGGCAGCACGTTGGGGGGGGGGGGGGGGGGTGTCGGGGACGCGACACGGCTCGGGCCCGCCAGTGCCCCAACGGGGTCCTAGTTAGGGCCCGAGCGTAGCTGCTAAGCAGCTGCGAGAGCCCTCTTGTTCCTGTAGTTTCCTTCTTTTGTTATTATTATTATTAGGGCCCGAGCCAGCTGCAGAGCAGCCGGGCGTAGGCCCTATTATTCCCCAAGTGGTTTTTCTTTGTTTCTTTCTTTCTTTCTTTCTTTCTTCTTTTTCCTCCCCTTTGAACTGGAAAATGGCCCACTTCCCACTGGCGAAAACTCATGAAATTTGGCAGGACGACCGGGCCTGGTGAAAAATTCGATATTCTGAAGTCGCCCAAACAATAAAATGCAAAATGGCTCCATAGCGCCCCCTAAGGTGGAAATTCACACTATTGACTGTCACGCCTGTACGCTTTGTCATATTGACACAAAAATTGACACACATATGTATCTCAATAGGATCTACAAAAAAGTCAGTGCGACCGTATCTGTCAAAATTACGGTTAAAGGGTTATTTCGCATTTTTTGCCGATCCGCACACATTGGAATTTCGCTAACTCTTCCGAAGGCTTTCGTTCCACCGGCACCACATTTGCTCAGGCCAATCTACACCCCGTGGCCATTAAAAGTTATCAAAATCATGACGCTGCACCCCAAGGTTTAGGTTCTAGGGGGCGCCAAAGATAACACTAAAATCCACATATTTAAAAGTCTTATAACTTTTTATTTTTGTCCTCACTGGCCTCCAAGTTTTCTAGGATGATGCAATGTCCAGCCATCAACACATTTGTGAAGGAATTTTTACTCCCCAAAAGAGCGCCCCCCCATGGCAGGAGAAAAAAGTCAATTTTTTCTTGTCCCCTAAGGTGAAAATACACATTGTTGACTGTCACGCCTATACGCTTTGTCAAAATGACACAAAAATTGACACACACATGTAACTCAATAAGATCTACGAAAAAGTCAATGCGCGCGTATCTGTCAAATGTACGGTTAAAGGGTTATTCCGCATTTTTTGCCGATCCGCACACATTGGAATGTGGCTAACTCCTCCTAAGGCTTTCGTTCCACCGGCACCACATTTGCTCAGGCCAATCTACACCCCATGGCCATTAAAAGTTATCAAAATCATGACGCTGCACCCCACGGTTTAGGTTCTAGGGGGCGCCAAAGATAACCCTAAAATCCACATATTTAAAAGTCTTATAACTTTTTATTTTTGTCCTCACTGGCCTCCAAGTTTTCTAGGATGATGCAATGTCCAGCCATCAACACATTTGTGAAGGAATTTTTACTCCCCAAAAGAGCGCCCCCCCCATGGCAGGAGAAAAAAGTCCATTTTTTCTTGTCCCTTAAGGTGAAAATACATATTGTTGAGATTCACGCCTATACGCTTTGTCATATTGACACAAAATTTGACAATCACGTGCCTTGCCTGGTATCATTTTTTTCAGCACAACCTCACCTGTGCGAATTTACAGTTATTTTATCATGTTGACATACTGAATTTACACAGTGGACCCAAATTCACACACAAAACATAAAATCCGAGTGGAAAAAAGTAACATTTTTACTGTGAAAACCACAAATATGTGTGATGAACTGTTTTTAAAACTTAAACTTCAAATAAAAATTGTAAACTTCAAAACATATGCAAATTTTTAACAAAGAACATAGTGATTTACCTCTATTTACATCAAAATGCAGGCAATGGCCCAGGCGTTCTTTGTAAAATTATTTACAAAACACTGTATAGTCTCACAAATGTCACTTTTTATTTATGCCACTACAAAAAAACATGATGTAAATGATGCATGATGTAAAACATGATGTAAAATACTTGTGTAGATCCTCCTCTATGTCAGTCCATGTGTAATTTTTCCACAATTCTTTGTTTTTTGCAGCATTTTTGTTAGTGTAACTGCAGATTGTGCTGACAGTGTCTATGGCACAAAAAAAAAAAAAAAAAAAATGCCTCAACATGAACCCCTGGTGGTCTCTGAGGGTGAAACCTGCTAACTGCTGCAGCTCTGTCAGCTTCAGTCTCCCATGCAGAGCTCTGAGCGCATGTGTGGCTCTGCACCCTTAGCAGCGTTGCTAACTCCTCAGTAAGGAAAGCCTGCTTCATGTCAGAGTCTCTAAACTCCAGAAGAAGTAGATAAAAGTCCCTTTCTTTCTAAAAAAAAGTCGTTAGGGGGTCTGAAAAGTCATTGAATCTAACAACAAAGTCGCTAGGTTTGCAACTACGTGTCCCAGACTGCATCCCTGCTGAGAGTCCCTCCCTCCCTTCTCATGTTGCAGGAAGAACGTAAGCGCCCTCCCCTTGTCAATCAGTCACCATATAATTTTGGATTGGTTGTTGTGGTGAAGTTTTCCACCAATAGGAGAGATGTTGTGGTGTGTTTTTTTTTTCTTTTGGCAAGCCTTTTCCGCCTGTAAGACCTGTCGCTAATGTCTGCATGCTATGTTTTCCTGTCTCATACAGCGCGATCGAGCGCCGAACGTGATCAAAATAAGCAGAAAAAAAGTATCGCGGACATAATTTATCATAACTCTGGTTTTATTTGGCCTATCAACACAATTTAAAAACTGGTATATAGGTTGAGGTCCTCACTTTTGAGATAAGTTGAAACGGAGAGTCAACGAGGCTCCGTCTTGCAGCTACATCCGGTTAAATATGTCATGTGACTTGAACGCACACACACACACACACACACACACACAGACACACACACACACGCACACACACACACTCAGAGTCTGGTTTTTAGCACCTGCAAAAACATGCTATTTACATATTTGACAAGAATGCAGAGGCTCCTTTTGCCCCTGAAAAAAATCAAATTTCAAACACAACTTGACTGGTCATTACTCCAAAAGACAACCATGAAGCTCCATCCAAACCTGAAGCAGGCAGTTGGTGCATGTGTACAGTAACCTGAGGGGAGTGAGGTGACTGCTTCTGAGGAGAACATGAGCAGTGAAGATTCACCTTAGAGCTAGAACAGAGACGTGCACATGATTATACAGGGGCAGGGGCTCAAGTTTTTTCCAGTTGTTTATACAATATGGAAATTAATGTGAAATTAAAAAACAAAGTATTAATAGAAAGGTAATGACTGTCCTGTGTAGGTGACAGTGATATCCAATAGGCTAGGCACTCACGAGGCTGGCTGTGGCAAGTGTAAGTGAAAGCAACACGCACTGGCAGGAAGAACAGCAAACGCCGATGAAGGAAAAGGGTCTTTGCAGTGATGGGCGTTACCAGGGAGGGCGATGGCCAGAGGACACAAATGGGACGGGGAGGCAGCGCGTTGGGGGGGGGACGCGACACAGCTCGGGCCCGCCAGTGCCCCAACGGGGTCCTAGTTATTATTTTTCCTCCCCTTTGAACTGGAAAATGGCCCACTTCCCACTGGCGAAAACTCATGAAATTTGGCAGGACGACCGGGCCTGGTGAAAAATTTGATATTCCGAAGTCGCCCAAACAAGAAAATGCAAAATGGCTCCATAGCGCCCCCTAAGGTGAAAATTCACACTATTCATTGTCACGCCTGTACGCTTTGTCAAAATGACACAAAAATTGACACACACATGTATCTCAATAAGATCTACAAAAAAGTCAGTGCGGGCGTATCTGTCAAATGTACGGTTAAAGGGTTATTTCGCATTTTTTGCCGATCCGCACACATTGGAATTTCGCTAACTCCTCCGAAGGCTTTCGTTCCACCGGCACCACATTTGCTCAGGCCAATCTACACCCCATGGCCATTAAAAGTTATTCAAATCATGACGCTGCACCCCACGGTTTAGGTTCTAGGGGGCGCCAAAGATAACCCTAAGATCCACATATTTAAAAGTCTTATAACTTTTTATTTTTGCCCTCACTGGCCTCCAAGTTTTCTAGGATGATGCAATGTCCAGCCATCAACACATTTGTGAAGGAATTTTTACTCCCCAAAAGAGCGCCCCCCATGGCAGGAGAAAAAAGTCCATTTTTTCTTGTCCCCTAAGGTGAAAATACACATTGTTGGGTGTAACACCTGTACGCTTTGGCAAAATGACACAAAAATTGACACACACATGTATCTCAATAAGATCTACGAAAAAGTCAATGCGCGCGTATCTGTCAAATGTACGGTTAAAGGGTTATTCCGCATTTTTTGCCGATCCGCACACATTGGAATTTCGCTAACTCCTCCGAAGGCTTTCGTTCCACCGGCACCACATTTGCTCAGGCCAATCTACACCCCATGGCCATTAAAAGTTATTCAAATCATGACGCTGCACCCCACGGTTTAGGTTCTAGGGGGCGCCAAAGATAACCGTAAAATCCACATATTTAAAAGTCTTATAACTTTTTATTTTTGTCCCCACTGGCCTCCAAGTTTTCTAGGATGATGCAATGTCCAGCCATCAACACATTTGTGAAGGAATTTTTACTCGGCAAAAGAGCGCCCCCCATGGCAGGAGAAAAAAGTCAATTTTTTCTTGTCCACTAAGGTGAAAATACACATTGTTGAGTGCTACGCCTGTATGTTTTGTCGTATTGACACAAAATTTTACATACACGTGTATTTCAATAAGATCTTCGAAAAAGTCAATGGCCACGTATCTGTAAAATGTACGGTTAGAGGGCTATTTTGCATTTTTTGCCGATTCGCACACATTGGAATGTGGCTAACTCCTCCTAAGGCTTTCGTCCCACTGAAACCAAATTTGCTCAGGCCAATCTACACCCCATGGCCATTCAAAGTTGTAAAAATCATGACGCTGCACCCCACGGTTTACGTTCTAGGGGGCGCCAAAGATAACCGTAAAATCCACATATTTAAAAGTCTTATAACTTTTTATTTTTGTCCCCACTGGCCTCCAAGTTTTCTAGGATGATGCAATGTCCAGCCATCAACACATTTGTGAAGGAATTTTTACTCGGCAAAAGAGCGCCCCCCCATGGCAGGAGAAAAAAGTCAATTTTTTCTTGTCCACTAAGGTGAAAATACACATTGTTGAGTGCTACGCCTGTATGTTTTGTCGTAGTGACACAAAATTTTACATACACGTGTATTTCAATAAGATCTACAAAAAAGTCAGTGCGGGCGTATCTGTAAAATGTACGGTTAAAGGGTTATTTCGCATTTTTTGCAGATTCGCACACATTGGAATGTGGCTAATTCCTCCGAAGGCTTTCGTTCCACCGGCACCACATTTGCTCAGGCCAATCTACACCCCATGGCCATTAAAAGTTATTCAAATCATGACGCTGCACCCCACGGTTTAGGTTCTAGGGGGCGCCAAAGATAACCCTAAGATCCACATATTTAAAAGTCTTATAACTTTTTATTTTTGTCCTCACTGGCCTCCAAGTTTTCTAGGATGATGCAATGTCCAGCCATCAACACATTTGTGAAAGAATTTTTTCTCCCCAAAAGAGCGCCCCCCCCATGGCAGGAGAAAAAGTTAAGTTTTTCCTGCCCTTCGCCCAATGGCTCAAACGCATCGCTCTCTCGGCAAAACCGAAAGGAGGAGCAACTTGCCATTTGGATATATGGAAGCTGTGTTTGTGCCCTCACTCATGGTCCAGACTTTTTTCAAAAAGGACATGGAGTTTGTCTGCAGCGAGCATTTTGGTAGAAACTGCGCCTCCCATTCATTATAATGGTAAATGACCACAGACAAGTGCGCACACCATCTTTGGACCTTGAGTGTGACGCGATCGGGAGGGGGAGGCGGTCGCGCTGGGGGCGGCGAGACACGGCTCGGGCCCGCCAGTGCCCCACCGGGGCCCTAGTCTTTGTTTCTTTCTTTCTTCTTTTTCCTCCCCTTTGAACTGGAAAATGGCCCACTTCCCACTGGCGAAAACTCAGGAAATTTGGCAGGACGACCGGGCCTGGTGAAAAATTTGATATTCCGAAGTCGCCCAAACAAAAAAATGCAAAATGGCTCCATAGCGCCCCCTAAGGTGAAAATTCACACTATTGACTGTCACGCCTGTACGCTTTGTCAAAATGACACAAAAATTGACACACACATGTATCTCAATAAGATCTACAAAAAAGTCAGTGCGGGCGTATCTGTCAAATGTACGGTTAAAGGGTTATTTCGCATTTTTTGCCGATCCGCACACATTGGAATTTCGCTAACTCCTCCGAAGGCTTTCGTTCCACCGGCACCACATTTGCTCAGGCCAATCTACACCCCATGGCCATTAAAAGTTATTCAAATCATGACGCTGCACCCCACGGTTTAGGTTCTAGGGGGCGCCAAAGATAACCCTAAAATCCACATTTTTAAAAGTCTTATAACTTTTTATTTTTGCCCTCACTGGCCTCCAAGTTTTCTAGGATGATGCAATGTCCAGCCATCAACACATTTGTGAAGGAATTTTTACTCCCCAAAAGAGCGCCCCCCCATGGCAGGAGAAAAAAGTCCATTTTTTCTTGTCCCCTAAGGTGAAAATACACATTGTTGAGTGTCACGCCTGTACGCTTTGTCAAAATGACACAAAAATTGACACACACATGTATCTCAATAAGATCTACAAAAAAGTCCATGCGCGCGTATCTGTCTAATGTACGGTTAAAGGGTTATTCCGCATTTTTTGCCGATTCGCACACATTGGAATTTCGCTAACTCCTCCGAAGGCTTTCGTTCCACCGGCACCACATTTGCTCAGGCCAAATTACACCCCATGGCCATTAAAAGTTATTCAAATCATGACGCTGCACCCCACGGTTTACGTTCTAGGGGGCGCCAAAGATAACCCAAAAATCCACATTTTTAAAAGTCTTATAACTTTTTATTTTTGTCCTCACTGGCCTCCAAGTTTTCTAGGATGATGCAATGTCCAGCCATCAACACATTTGTGAAGGAATTTTTACTCCCCAAAAGAGCGCCCCCCCATGGCAGGAGAAAAAAGTCCATTTTTTCTTGTCCCCTAAGGTGAAAATACACATTGTTGACTGTCACGCCTGTACGCTTTGGCAAAATGACACAAAAATTGACAATCATGTGTATCTCAATTAGATCTACGAAAAAGTCAAAGAGCGCGTATCTGTATAATGTACGGTTAAAGGGCTATTTTGCATTTTTTGCCGATTAGCACACATTGGAATGTGGCTAACTCCTCCTAAGGCTTTCGTCCCACTGACACCAAATTTGCTCAGGCCAATCTACACCCCATGGCCATTCAAAGTTTTAAAAATCATGACGCTGCACCCCACGGTTTACGTTCTAGGGGGCGCCAAAGATGACCCAAATATCCACATTCTTAAAAGAATCCACATCCCCCCCCCCCCCATCCCCCATCCCCCATCCCCCATGGCAGGAGAAACAGTCAAGTTTTTCCTGCCCATCACTCAATGGCTCAATCGCATCGCTCTCCCGGCAACACCGTAACGAGGAGCAACTTGCCGTTTGGATATATCCTAGCTGTGTTTGTGCCCTCACTCATGGTCCAGACTTTTTTCAAATAGGATATGTAGTTTGTCTGCAGCGAGTGTTTTGGTAGAAACTGCGCCTCCCATTCATTATAATGGGAAATGACCACAGACAAGTGCGCACACCATCTTTGGACCTTGAGTGTGACGCGATCGGGAGAGGGAGGCGGTCGCACTGGGGGCGGCGCAACGCGGCTCGGGCCCGCCAGTGCCCCAACGGGGCCCTAGTTATTAGGGCCCGAGCGTAGCTGCTAAGCAGCTGCGAGAGCCCTCTTGTTCCTGTAGTTTCCTTCTTTTGTTATTATTATTATTATATTTACTCCCCTTTGAACTGGAAAATGGCCCACTTCCCACTGGCGAAAACTCATGAAATTTGGCAGGACGACCGGGCCTGGTGAAAAATTTGATATTCCGAAGTCGCCCAAACAAGAAAATGCAAAATGGCTCCATAGCGCCCCCTAAGGTGAAAATTCACACTATTCATTGTCACGCCTGTACGCTTTGTCAAAATGACACAAAAATTGACACACACATGTATCTCAATAAGATCTACAAAAAAGTCAGTGCGGGCGTATCTGTCAAATGTACGGTTAAAGGGTTATTTCGCATTTTTTGCCGATCCGCACACATTGGAATTTCGCTAACTCCTCCGAAGGCTTTCGTTCCACCGGCACCACATTTGCTCAGGCCAATCTACACCCCATGGCCATTAAAAGTTATTCAAATCATGACGCTGCACCCCACGGTTTAGGTTCTAGGGGGCGCCAAAGATAACCCTAAGATCCACATATTTAAAAGTCTTATAACTTTTTATTTTTGCCCTCACTGGCCTCCAAGTTTTCTAGGATGATGCAATGTCCAGCCATCAACACATTTGTGAAGGAATTTTTACTCCCCAAAAGAGCGCCCCCCCATGGCAGGAGAAAAAAGTCCATTTTTTCTTGTCCCCTAAGGTGAAAATACACATTGTTGGGTGTAACACCTGTACGCTTTGGCAAAATGACACAAAAATTGACACACACATGTATCTCAATAAGATCTACGAAAAAGTCAATGCGCGCGTATCTGTCAAATGTACGGTTAAAGGGTTATTCCGCATTTTTTGCCGATCCGCACACATTGGAATTTCGCTAACTCCTCCGAAGGCTTTCGTTCCACCGGCACCACATTTGCTCAGGCCAATCTACACCCCATGGCCATTAAAAGTTATTCAAATCATGACGCTGCACCCCACGGTTTAGGTTCTAGGGGGCGCCAAAGATAACCGTAAAATCCACATATTTAAAAGTCTTATAACTTTTTATTTTTGTCCCCACTGGCCTCCAAGTTTTCTAGGATGATGCAATGTCCAGCCATCAACACATTTGTGAAGGAATTTTTACTCGGCAAAAGAGCGCCCCCCCATGGCAGGAGAAAAAAGTCAATTTTTTCTTGTCCACTAAGGTGAAAATACACATTGTTGAGTGCTACGCCTGTATGTTTTGTCGTATTGACACAAAATTTTACATACACGTGTATTTCAATAAGATCTTCGAAAAAGTCAATGGCCACGTATCTGTAAAATGTACGGTTAGAGGGCTATTTTGCATTTTTTGCCGATTCGCACACATTGGAATGTGGCTAACTCCTCCTAAGGCTTTCGTCCCACTGAAACCAAATTTGCTCAGGCCAATCTACACCCCATGGCCATTCAAAGTTGTAAAAATCATGACGCTGCACCCCACGGTTTACGTTCTAGGGGGCGCCAAAGATGACCAAAAAATCCACATTCTTAAAAGAATCCACATTCTCCCCCCCCCCATGGCAGGAGAAAAAGTCAAGTTTTTCCTGCCCATCGCTCAATGGCTCAATCGCATCGCTCTCCAGGCAACACCGTAACGAGGAGCAACCTGCCATTTGGATATATCCCAGCTGTGTTTGTGCCCTCACTCATGGTCCAGACTTTTTTCAAATAGGACATGAAGTTTGTCTGCAGCAAGTGTTTTGGTAGAAACTGTGCCTCCCATTCATTATAATGGGAAATGACCGCAGACAAGTGCGCACACCATCTTTGGACCTTGAGTGTGACGCGATCGGGAGGGGGAGGCGGTCACGCTGGGGGCGGCACGATGCGGCTCGGGCCCGACAGTGCCCCACCGGGGCCCTAGTTTGTTATTATTATTAGGGCCCGAGCCAGCTGCAGAGCAGCCGGGCGTAGAGCCCTATTATTCCTGTAGTGGTTTTTCTTTCTTCTTTCTTTCTTTCTTTCTTCTTATTTTTCCTCCCCTTTGAAGGGGAAAATGGCCCACTTCCCACTGGCGAAAACTCATGAAATTTGGCAGGACGACCGGGCCTGGTGAAAAATTCGATATTCTGAAGTCGCCCAAACAATAAAATGCAAAATGGCTCCATAGCGCCCCCTAAGGTGAAAATTCACACTATTGACTGTCACGCCTGTACGCTTTGTTGTATTGACACAAAAATTGACACACACGTGTATCGCTATACGGTCTACGAAAAAGTCAGTGCGGGCGCATCTGTGAAATGTACGGTTAGAGGGTTATTTCGCATTTTTTGCAGATCTGCACACATTGGAATTTCGCTAACTCCTCCGAAGGCATTCGTTCCACCGGCACCACATTTGCTCAGGCCAATCTACACCCCATGGCCATTAAAAGTTGTACAAATCATAACGCTGCACCCCACGGTTTACGTTCTAGGGGGCGCCAAATATAACCCAAAAATCCACAGTCTTAAAAGTCTTACAACTTTGTATTTTTGTCCTCAATGGCCTCCAAGTTTTCTAGGATGATGCAATGTCCAGCCAACAACACATTTGTGAAGGAATTTTTACTCCCCAAAAGAGCGCCCCCCCATGGCAGGAGAAAAAAGTCCATTTTTTCTTGTCCCCTAAGGTGAAAATACACATTGTTGAGTGTCACGCCTATACGCTTTGTCATATTGACCCAAAATTTGACAATCACGTGTATCTCAATAAGATCTACGAAAAAGTCACCGGGCACGTATCTGCAAAATGTACGGTTAAAGGGTTATTTCGCATTTTTTCCCGATCCGCACACATTGGAATTTCGCTAACTCCTCCGAAGGCTTTCGTTCCACCGGCACCACATTTGCTCAGGCCAATCTACACCCCATGGCCATTAAAAGTTATTCAAATCATGACGCTGCACCCCACGGTTTAGGTTCTAGGGGGGCGCCAAACATAACCCAAAAATCCACATTCTTAATAGTCTTATAACTTTTTATTTTTGTCCTCACTGGCCTCCAAGTTTTCTAGGATGATGCAATGTCCAGCCATCAACACATTTGTAAAGGAATTTTTACTCTCGAAACGAGCGCCCCCCCATGGCAGGAGAAAAAAGTCAATTTTTTCTTGTCCACTAAGGTGAAAATACACATTGTTGAGTGCTACGCCTGTATGTTTTGTCAAAATGACACAAAATTTGACACACACATGTATCTCAATAAGATCTACGAAAAAGTCAATGTGCACGTATCTGTAAAATGTACGGTCAAAGGGCTATTTCGCATTTTTTCCCGATTCGCACACATTGGAATTTTGCTAACTCCTCCTAAGGCTTTCGTCCCACCGACACCAAATTTGCTCAAGCCGATCTACATCCCATGGCCATTCAAAGTTGTAAAAATCATGACGCTGCACCCCACGGTTTACGTTCTAGGGGGCGCCAAAGATGACCCAAATATCCACATTCTTAAAAGAATCCACATCCCCCCCTCCCCCCAAGGCAGGAGGAAAAGTCAAGTTTTTCCTGCCCATTGCTCAATGGCTCAATCGCATCGCTCTCCCGGATACACCGTAAGGAGGAGCAACTTGCCATTTGGATATATCCTAGCTGTGTTTGTGCCCTCACTCATGGTCCAGACTTTTTTCAAATAGGACATGTAGTTTGTCTGCAGCGAGTGTTTTGGTAGAAACTGCGCCTCCCATTCATTATAATGGGAAATGACCACAGACAAGTGCGCACACCATCTTTGGACCTTGAGTGTGACGCGATCGGGAGGGGGAGGTGGTCGCGCTGGGGGCGGCGCGACGCGGCTCGGGCCCGACAGTGCCCCACCGGGGCCCTAGTTAGGGCCCGAGTGTAGCTGCTAAGCAGCTGCGAGAGCCCTCTTGTTCCTGCATGTTTCCTTCTTTCGTTATTATTTTTCCTCCGCTTTAAACTGGAAAATGGCCCACTTCCCACTGGCGAAAACTCAGGAAATTTGGCAGGACGACCGGGCCTGGTGAAAAATTCGATATTCTGAAGTCGCCCAAACAATAAAATGCAAAATGGCTCCATAGCGCCCCCTAAGGTGAAAATTCACATGACGGCTGTACGCTTTGTCATATTGACACAAAAATTGACACACACATGTATCTCAATAAGATCTACAAAAAAGTCAGTGCGGGCGTATCTGTCAAATGTACGGTTAATGGGTTATTTTGCATTTTTTGCAGATCTGCACACATTGGAATTTCGCTAACTCCTCCGAAGGCTTTCGTTCGACCGGCACCACATTTGCGCAGGCCAATCTACCCCCCATGGCCATTAAAAGTTGTACAAATCATGACGCTGCACCCCACGGTTTACGTTCTAGGGGGCGCCAAAGATAACCCAAAATCCACATTCTTAAAAGTCTTATAACTTTTTATTTTTGTCCTCACTGCCCTCCAAGTTTTCTAGGATGATGCAATGTCCAGCCATCAACACATTTGTGAAGGAATTTTTACTCCCCAAAAGAGCGCCCCCCCATGGCAGGAGAAAATAGTCCATTTTTTCTTGTCCCCTTACATGAAAATACACATTGTTGAGTGTCACGCCTGAACGCTTTGTCATATTGACACAAAAATTGACAATCACGTGTATCTCAATTAGATCTACGAAAAAGTCAAAAAGCGCGTATCTGTATAATGTACGGTTAAAGGGCTATTTCGCATTTTTTGCCGATTCGCACACATTGGAATGTGGCTATCTCCTCCTAAGGCTTTCGTCCCACCGATACCAAATTTGCTCAGGGCAATCTACACCCCATGCCCATTCAAAGTTGTAAAAATCATGACGCTGCACCCCACGGTTTACGTTCTAGGGGGCACCAAAGATGACCCAAAAATCCACATTCTTAAAAGTCATTTTGGCCACTGCAGGAGTACAGAGTACTGCAGTTCTAGGGGGCGCCAAAGATGACCCAAAAATCCACATTCTTAAAAGTCTTTTTGGCCACTGCAGGAGTACAGAGTACTGCAGGATACACACACATACACACACACACACACACACACACACACACACACACACACACACACACACTCAGAGTTTGTTTTTTAGCACCTGCAAAAACATGCTGTTTACATATTTGACAAGAATGCAGAGGCTTCCTTTTGCCCCTGAAAAAAATCAGATTTCAAACACAACTTGACTGTTCATTTCTCCAAAAGACAACCATGAAGCTCCATCCAAACCTGAAGCAGATAGTTGGTGCATGTGTACAGTAACCTGAGGGGAGTGAGGTGACTATTTCTGAGGAGAACATGAGCAGTGAAGATTCACCTTGGAGCTAGAACAGGGACGTGCATATGATTATACAGGGGCAGGGGCTCAAGTTTTTTCCAGTCATTTATACAATATGGAAATTAATGTGAAATTAAAACACAAATATGTGTGATGAACTGTTTTTAAAACTTAAACTTCAAATAAAAATTGTAAACTTCAAAACATATGCAAATTTTTAACAAAGAACATAGTAATTTACCTCTATTTACATCAAAATGCAGGCAATGGCCCAGGCGTTCTTTGTAAAATTATTTACAAAACACTGTATAGTCTCACAAATGTCACTTTTTATTTATGCCACTACAAAAAAACATGATGTAAATGATGCATGATGTAAAACATGATGTAAAAAACTTGTGTAGATCCTCCTCTATGTCAGTCCATGTGTAATTTTTCCATAATTCTTTGTTTTTTGCAGCATTTTTGTTAGTGTAACTGCAGATTGTGCTGACAGTGTCTATGGCACAAAAAAAAAAAAAATTAAAATGCCTCAACATGAACCCCTGGTGGTCTCTGAGGGTGAAACCTGCTAACTGCTGCAGCTCTGTCAGCTTCAGTCTCCCATGCAGAGCTCTGAGCGCATGTGTGGCTCTGCACCCTTAGCAGCGTTGCTAACTCCTCAGTAAGGAAAGCCTGCTTCATGTCAGAGTCTCTAAACTCCAGAAGAAGTCGATAAAAGTCCCTTTCTTTCTAAAAAAAAGTCGTAAGGGGGTCTGAAAAGTCATTGAATCTAACAACAAAGTCGCTAGGTTTGCAACTACGTGTCCCAGACTGCATCCCTGCTGAGAGTCCCTCCCTCGCTTCTCATGTTGCAGGAAGAACGTAAGCGCCCGCCCCTTGTCAATCAGTCACCATATAATTTTGGATTGGTTGTTGTGGTGAAGTTTTCCACCAATAGGAGAGATGTTGTGGTGTGTTTTTTTTTTTCTTTTGGCAAGCCTTTTCCGCCTGTAAGACCTGTCGCTAATGTCTGCATGCTATGTTTTCCTGTCTCATACAGCGCGATCGAGCGCCGAACGTGATCAAAATAAGCAGAAAAAAAGTATCGCGGACATAATTTATCATAACTCTGGTTTTATTTGGCCTATCAACACAATTTAAAAACTGGTATATAGGTTGAGGTCCTCACTTTTGAGATAAGTTGAAACGGAGAGTCAACGAGGCTCCGTCTTGCAGCTACATCCGGTTAAATATGTCATGTGACTTGAACGCACACACAGACACACACACACCCACACACACACACACACACACTCAGAGTCTGGTTTTTAGCACCTGCAAAAACATGCTATTTACATATTTGACAAGAATGCAGAGGCTCCTTTTGCCCCTGAAAAAAATCAAATTTCAAACACAACTTGACTGGTCATTTCTCCAAAAGACAACCATGAAGCTCCATCCAAACCTGAAGCAGGCAGTTGGTGCATGTGTACAGTAACCTGAGGGGAGTGAGGTGAGTGCTTCTGAGGAGAACATGAGCAGTGAAGATTCACCTTGGAGCTAGAACAGAGACATGCACATGATTATACAGGGGCAGGGGCTCAAGTTTTTTCCAGTCGTTTATACAATATGGAAATTAATGTGAAATTAAAACACAAAGTATTAATAGAAAGGTAATGACTGTCCTGTGTAGGTGACAGTGATATCCAATAGGCTAGGCACTCACGAGGCTGGCTGTGGCAAGTGTAAGTGAAAGCAACACGCACTGGCAGGAAGAACAGCAAACGCCGATGAAGGAAAAGGGTCTTTGCAGTGATGGGCGTTACCAGAGAGGGCGATGGCCAGAGGACACAAATGGGACGGGAAGGCAGCACGTTGGGGGGGGGGGGAGGGACGCGACACGGCTCGGGCCCGCCAGTGCCCCAACGGGGTCCTAGTTATTATTTTTCCTCCCCTTTAAACTGGAAAATGGCCCACTTCCCACTGGCGAAAACTCATGAAATTTGGCAGGACGACCGGGCCTGGTGAAAAATTTGATATTCCGAAGTCGCCCAAACAAGAAAATGCAAAATGGCTCCATAGCGCCCCCTAAGGTGAAAATTCACACTATTGACTGTCACGCCTGTACGCTTTGTCAAAATGACACAAAAATTGACACACACATGTATCTCAATAAGATCTACAAAAAAGTCAGTGCGGGCGTATCTGTCAAATGTACGGTTAAAGGGTTATTTCGCATTTTTTGCCGATCCGCACACATTGGAATTTCGCTAACTCCTCCGAAGGCTTTCGTTCCACCGGCACCACATTTGCTCAGGCCAATCTACACCCCATGGCCATTAAAAGTTATTCAAATCATGACGCTGCACCCCACGGTTTAGGTTCTAGGGGGCGCCAAAGATAACCCTAAAATCCACATATTTAAAAGTCTTATAACTTTTTATTTTTGCCCTCACTGGCCTCCAAGTTTTCTAGGATGATGCAATGTCCAGCCATCAACACATTTGTGAAGGAATTTTTACTCCCCAAAAGAGCGCCCCCCCATGGCAGGAGAAAAAAGTCCATTTTTTCTTGTCTCCTAAGGTGAAAATTCACACTATTGACTGTCACGCCTGTACGCTTTGTCAAAATGACACAAAAATTGACACACACATGTATCTCAATAAGATCTACAAAAAAGTCCATGCGCGCGTATCTGTCTAATGTACGGTTAAAGGGTTATTTCGCATTTTTTGCCGATCCGCACACATTGGAATTTCGCTAACTCCTCCGAAGGCTTTCGTTCCACCGGCACCACATTTGCTCAGGCCAATCTACACCCCATGGCCATTAAAAGTTATTCAAATCATGACGCTGCACCCCACGGTTTACGTTCTAGGGGGCGCCAAAGATAACCCTAAAATCCACATTTTTAAAAGTCTTATAACTTTTTATTTTTGCCCTCACTGGCCTCCAAGTTTTCTAGGATGATGCAATGTCCAGCCATCAACACATTTGTGAAGGAATTTTTACTCCCCAAAAGAGCGCCCCCCCATGGCAGGAGAAAAAAGTCCATTTTTTCTTGTCCCCTAAGGTGAAAATACACATTGTTGAGTGTCACGCCTATACGCTTTGTCAAAATGACACAAAAATTGACACACACATGTAACTCAATAAGATCTACGAAAAAGTCAATGCGCGCGTATCTGTCAAATGTACGGTTAAAGGGTTATTCCGCATTTTTTGCCGATCCGCACACATTGGAATGTGGCTAACTCCTCCTAAGGCTTTCGTTCCACCGGCACCACATTTGCTCAGGCCAATCTACACCCCATGGCCATTAAAAGTTATTCAAATCATGATGCTGCACCCCACGGTTTAGGTTCTAGGGGGCGCCAAAGATAACCCTAAAATCCACATATTTAAAAGTCTTATAACTTTTTATTTTTGTCCTCACTGGCCTCCAAGTTTTCTAGGATGATGCAATGTCCAGCCATCAACACATTTGTGAAGGAATTTTTACTCCCCAAAAGAGCGCCCCCCCATGGTAGGAGAAAAAAGTCAATTTTTTCTTGTCCCCTTACATGAAAATACACATTGTTGAGTGTCACGCCTGAACGCTTTGTCATATTGACACAAAAATTGACAATCATGTGTATCTCAATTAGATCTACGAAAAAGTCAAAGAGCGCGTATCTGTATAATGTACGGTGAAAGGGCTATTTTGCATTTTTTGCCGATTCGCACACATTGGAATGTGGCTATCTCCTCCTAAGGCTTTCGTCCCACCGATACCAAATTTGCTCAGGGCAATCTACACCCCATGCCCATTCAAAGTTGTAAAAATCATGGCGATGCACCCCACGGTTTACGTTCTAGGGGGCGCCAAAGATGACCCAAAAATCCACATTCTTAAAAGTCATTTTGGCCACTGCAGGAGTACAGAGTACTGCAGTTCTAGGGGGCGCCAAAGATGACCCAAAAATCCACATTCTTAAAAGTCTTTTTGGCCACTGCAGGAGTACAGAGTACTGCAGGATACACACACATATACACACACGCCAACATACACACACACACACACACACACACACAGACACACACACACACTCAGAGTCTGTTTTTTAGCACCTGCAAAAACATGCTGTTTACATATTTGACAAGAATGCAGAGGCTTCCTATTGCCCCTGAAAAAAATCAAATTTCAAACACAACTTGACTGTTCATTTCTCCAAAAGACAACCATGAAGCTCCATTTCAAACCTGAAGCAGATAGTTGGTGCATGTGTACAGTAACCTGAGGGGAGTGAGGTGACTATTTCTGAGGAGAACATGAGCAGTGAAGATTCACCTTGGAGCTAGAACAGGGACGTGCACATGATTATACAGGGGCAGGGGCTCAAGTTTTTTCCAGTCATTTATACAATGTGGAAATTAATGTGAAATTAAACCACAAATATGTGTGATGAACTGTTTTTAAAACTTAAACTTCAAATAAAAATTGTAAACTTCAAAACATATGCAAATTTTTAACAAAGAACATAGTAATTTACCTCTATTTACATCAAAATGCAGGCAATGGCCCAGGCGTTCTTTGTAAAATTATTTACAAAACACTGTATAGTCTCACAAATGTCACTTTTTATTTATGCCACTACAAAAAAACATGATGTAAATGATGCATGATGTAAAACATGATGTAAAAAACTTGTGTAGATCCTCCTCTATGTCAGTCCATGTGTAATTTTTCCATAATTCTTTGTTTTTTGCAGCATTTTTGTGAGTGTAACTACAGATTGTGCTGACAGTGTCTATGGCAAAAAAAAAAAAAAAAACTGAAAATGCCTCAACATGAACCCCTGGTGGTCTCTGAGGGTGAAACCTGCTAACTGCTGCAGCTCTGTCAGCTTCAGTCTCCCATGCAGAGCTCGGAGCGCATGTGTGGCTCTGCACCCTTAGCAGCGTTGCTAACTCCTCAGTAAGGAAAGCCTGCTTCATGTCAGAGTCTCTAAACTCCAGAAGAAGTCGATAAAAGTCACTTTCTTTCTAAAAAAGTCGTTAGGGGGTCTGAAAAGTCATTGAATCTAACAACAAAGTCGCTAGGTTTGCAACTACGTGTCCCAGACTGCATCCCTGCTGAGAGTCCCTCCCTCCCTTCTCATATTGCAGGAAGAACATAAGCGCCCGCCCCTTGTCAATCAGTCACCATATAATTTTGGATTGGTTGTTGTGGTGAAGTTTTCCACCAATAGGAGAGATGTTGTGGTGTGTTTTTTTTTTCTTTTGGCAAGCCTTTTCCGCCTGTAAGACCTGTCGCTAATGTCTGCATGCTATGTTTTCCTGTCTCATACAGCGCGATCGAGCGCCGAACGTGATCAAAATAAGCAGAAAAAAAGTATCGCGGACATAATTTATCATAACTCTGGTTTTATTTGGCCTATCAACACAATTTAAAAACTGGTATATAGGTTGAGGTCCTCACTTTTGAGATAAGTTGAAACGGAGAGTCAACGAGGCTCCGTCTTGCAGCTACATCCGGTTAAATATGTCATGTGACTTGAACGCACACACAGACACACACACACGCACACACACACACACACACACACACACACACACTCAGAGTCTGGTTTTTAGCACCTGCAAAAACATGCTATTTACATATTTGACAAGAATGCAGAGGCTCCTTTTGCCCCTGAAAAAAATCAAATTTCAAACACAACTTGACTGCTCATTTCTCCAAAAGACAACCATGAAGCGCTATCTAAACCTGAAGCATGCAGTTGCTGCGTGTGTACAGTAACCTGAGGGGAGTGAGGTGACTGCTTCTGAGGAGAACATGAGCAGTGAAGATTCACCTTAGAGCCAGAACAGGGACGTGCACATGATTATACAGGGGCAGGGGCTCAAGTCTTTTCCAGTCCTTTATACAATATGGAAATTAATGTGAAATTAAAAAACAAAGTATTAATAGAAAGGTAAGGACTGTCCTGTGTAGATGACAGTGATATCCAATAGGCTAGGCACTCACGAGGCTGGCTGTGGCAAGTGTAAGTGAAAGCAACACGCACTGGCAGGAAGAACAGCAAACGCCGATGAAGGAAAAGGGTCTTTGCAGTGATGGGCGTTACCAGAGAGGTCGATGGCCAGAGGATGCGAATGGGACGGGGAGGCAGCGCGTTGGGGGGGGGGGCGCGACACGGCTCGGGCCCGCCAGTGCCCCAACGGGGCCCTAGTTTCTTCTTTTTCCTCCCCTTTGAACTGGAAAATGGCCCACTTCCCACTGGCGAAAACTCATGAAATTTGGCAGGACGACCGGGCCTGGTGAAAAATTCGATATTCTGAAGTCGCCCAAACAATAAAATGCAAAATGGCTCCATAGCGCCCCCTAAGGTGGAAATTCACACTATTGACTGTCACGCCTGTACGCTTTGTCATATTGACACAAAAATTGACACACATATGTATCTCAATAAGATCTACAAAAAAGTCAGTGCGGCCGTATCTGTCAAATGTACGGTCAAAGGGTTATTTCGCATTTTTTGCCGATCCGCACACATTGGAATTTCGCTAACTCCTCCGAAGGCTTTCGTTCCACCGGCACCACATTTGCTCAGGCCAATCTACACCCCGTGGCCATTAAAAGTTATCAAAATCATGACGCTGCACCCCAAGGTTTAGGTTCTAGGGGGCGCCAAAGATAACACTAAAATCCACATATTTAAAAGTCTTATAACTTTTTATTTTTGTCCTTACTGGCCTCCAAGTTTTCTAGGATGATGCAATGTCCAGCCATCAACACATTTGTGAAGGAATTTTTACTCCCCAAAAGAGCGCCCCCCCATGGCAGGAGAAAAAAGTCCATTTTTTCTTGTCCCCTAAGGTGAAAATACACATTCTTGAGTGTCACGCCTATACGCTTTGTCAAAATGACACAAAAATTGACACACACATGTAACTCAATAAGATCTACAAAAAAGTCCATGCGCGCGTATCTGTCAAATGTACAGTTAAAGGGTTATTCCGCATTTTTTGCCGATACGCACACATTGGAATTTCGCTAACTCCTCCGAAGGCTTTCGTTCCACCGGCACCACATTTGCTCAGGCCAATCTACACCCCATGGCCATTAAAAGTTATTCAAATCATGACGCTGCACCCCATGGTTTAGGTTCTAGGGGGCGCCAAAAATAACCCAAAAATCCACATTCTTAAATGTTTTATAACTTTTTATTTTTGTCCTCACTGGCCTCCAAGTTTTCTAGGATGATGCAATGTCCAGCCATCAACACATTTGTGAAGGAATTTTTACTCCCCAAAAGAGCGCCCCCCCATGGTAGGAGAAAAAAGTCCATTTTTTCTTGTCCCCTTACATGAAAATACACATTGTTGAGTGTCACACCTGAACGCTTTGTCATATTGACACAAAAATTGACAATCATGTGTATCTCAATTAGATCTACGAAAAAGTCAAAGAGCGCGTATCTTTATAATGTACGGTTAAAGGGCTATTTTGCATTTTTTGCCGATTCGCACACATTGGAATGTGGCTATCTCCTCCTAAGGCTTTCGTCCCACCGATACCAAATTTGCTCAGGGCAATCTACACCCCATGCCCATTCAAAGTTGTAAAAATCATGACGCTGCACCCCACGGTTTACGTTCTAGGGGGCGCCAAAGATGACCCAAAAATCCACATTCTTAAAAGTCATTTTGGCCACTGCAGGAGTACAGAGTACTGCAGTTCTAGGGGGCGCCAAAGATGACCCAAAAATCCACATTCTTAAAAGGTTTTTTTGGCCACTGCAGGAGTACAGAGTACTGCAGGATACACACACATATACACACACGCCAACATACACACACACACAGACACACACACACACAGACACACACACACACTCAGAGTCTGTTTTTTAGCACCTGCAAAAACATGCTGTTTACATATTTGACAAGAATGCAGAGGCTTCCTTTTGCCCCTGAAAAAAATCAAATTTCAAACACAACTTGACTGTTCATTTCTCCAAAAGACAACCATGAAGCTCCATTTCAAACCTGAAGCAGATAGTTGGTGCATGTGTACAGTAACCTGAGGGGAGTGAGGTGACTATTTCTGAGGAGAACATGAGCAGTGAAGATTCACCTTGGAGCTAGAACAGGGACGTGCACATGATTATACAGGGGCAGGGGCTCAAGTTTTTTCCAGTCATTTATACAATATGGAAATTAATGTGAAATTAAACCACAAATATGTGTGATGAACTGTTTTTAAAACTTAAACTTCAAATAAAAATTGTAAACTTCAAAACATATGCAAATTTTTAACAAAGAACATAGTAATTTACCTCTATTTACATCAAAATGCAGGCAATGGCCCAGGCGTTCTTTGTAAAATTATTTACAAAACACTGTATAGTCTCACAAATGTCACTTTTTATTCATGCCACTACAAAAAAACATGATGTAAATGATGCATGATGTAAAACATGATGTAAAAAACTTGTGTAGATCCTCCTCTATGTCAGTCCATGTGTAATTTTTCCATAATTCTTTGTTTTTTGCAGCATTTTTGTTAGTGTAACTGCAGATTGTGCTGACAGTGTCTATGGCACAAAAAAAAAAAACTGAAAATGCCTCAACATGAACCCCTGGTGGTCTCTGAGGGTGAAACCTGCTAACTGCTGCAGCTCTGTCAGCTTCAGTCTCCCATGCAGAGCTCTGAGCGCATGTGTGGCTCTGCACCCTTAGCAGCGTTGCTAACTCCTCAGTAAGGAAAGCCTGCTTCATGTCAGAGTCTCTAAACTCCAGAAGAAGTCGATAAAAGTCCCTTTCTTTCTAAAAAAAAGTCGTTAGGGGGTCTGAAAAGTCATTGAATCTAACAACAAAGTCGCTAGGTTTGCAACTACGTGTCCCAGACTGCATCCCTGCTGAGAGTCCCTCCCTCCCTTCTCATGTTGCAGGAAGAACGTAAGCGCCCGCCCCTTGTCAATCAGTCACCATATAATTTTGGATTGGTTGTTGTGGTGAAGTTTTCCACCAATAGGAGAGATGTTGTGGTGTGTTTTTTTTTTCTTTTGGCAAGCCTTTTCCGCCTGTAAGACCTGTCGCTAATGTCTGCATGCTATGTTTTCCTGTCTCATACAGCGCGATCGAGCGCCGAACGTGATCAAAATAAGCAGAAAAAAAGTATCGCGGACATAATTTATCATAACTTTGGTTTTATTTGGCCTATCAACACAATTTAAAAACTGGTATATAGGTTGAGGTCCTCACTTTTGAGATAAGTTGAAACGGAGAGTCAACGAGGCTCCGTCTTGCAGCTACATCCGGTTAAATATGTCATGTGACTTGAACGCACACACAGACACACACACACACACACACACACACACACACACACACACACACACACACACACACACACTCAGAGTCTGGTTTTTAGCACCTGCAAAAACATGCTATTTACATATTTGACAAGAATGCAGAGGCTCCTTTTGCCCCTGAAAAAAATCAAATTTCAAACACAACTTGACTGGTCATTTCTCCAAAAGACAACCATGAAGCTCCATCCAAACCTGAAGCAGGCAGTTGGTGCATGTGTACAGTAACCTGAGGGGAGTGAGGTGAGTGCTTCTGAGGAGAACATGAGCAGTGAAGATTCACCTTGGAGCTAGAACAGAGACATGCACATGATTATACAGGGGCAGGGGCTCAAGTTTTTTCCAGTCGTTTATACAATATGGAAATTAATGTGAAATTAAAACACAAAGTATTAATAGAAAGGTAATGACTGTCCTGTGTAGGTGACAGTGATATCCAATAGGCTAGGCACTCACGAGGCTGGCTGTGGCAAGTGTAAGTGAAAGCAACACGCACTGGCAGGAAGAACAGCAAACGCCGATGAAGGAAAAGGGTCTTTGCAGTGATGGGCGTTACCAGAGAGGGCGATGGCCAGAGGACACAAATGGGACGGGAAGGCAGCACGTTGGGGGGGGGGGGGGGGGGGGGGGGCGCGACACGGCTCGGGCCCGCCAGTGCCCCAACGGGGTCCTAGTGTTATTAGGGCCCGAGCCAGCTGCAGAGCAGCCGGGCGTAGGCCCTATTATTCCCCAAGTGGTTTTTCTTTGTTTCTTTCTTTAGGGCCCGAGCGTAGCTGCTAAGCAGCTGCGAGAGCCCTCTTGTTCCTGCATGTTTCCTTCTTTAGGGCCCGAGCGTAGCTGCTAAGCAGCTGCGAGAGCCCTATTATTCCCCAAGTGGTTTTTCTTTGTTTCTTTCTTTCTTTCTTTCTTTCTTTCTTCTTTTTCCTCCCCTTTGAACTGGAAAATGGCCCACTTCCCACTGGCAAAAACTCATGAAATTTGGCAGGACGACCGGGCCTGGTGAAAAATTCGATATTCTGAAGTCGCCCAAACAATAAAATGCAAAATGGCTCCATAGCGCCCCCTAAGGTGGAAATTCACACTATTGACTGTCACGCCTGTACGCTTTGTCATATTGACACAAAAATTGACACACATATGTATCTCAATAAGATCTACAAAAAAGTCAGTGCGGGCGTATCTGTCAAATGTACGGTTAAAGGGTTATTTCGCATTTTTTTCCGATCCGCACACATTGGAATTTCGCTAACTCCTCCGAAGGCTTTCGTTCCACCGGCACCACATTTGCTCAGGCCAATCTACACCCCGTGGCCATTAAAAGTTATCAAAATCATGACGCTGCACCCCAAGGTTTAGGTTCTAGGGGGCGCCAAAGATAACACTAAAATCCACATATTTAAAAGTCTTATAACTTTTTATTTTTGTCCTCACTGGCCTCCAAGTTTTCTAGGATGATGCAATGTCCAGCCATCAACACATTTGTGAAGGAATTTTTACTCCCCAAAAGAGCGCCCCCCCATGGCAGGAGAAAAAAGTCAATTTTTTCTTGTCCCCTAAGGTGAAAATACACATTGTTGAGTGTCACGCCTATACGCTTTGTCAAAATGACACAAAAATTGACACACACATGTAACTCAATAAGATCTACGAAAAAGTCAATGCGCGCGTATCTGTCAAATGTACGGTTAAAGGGTTATTCCGCATTTTTTGCCGATCCGCACACATTGGAATGTGGCTAACTCCTCCTAAGGCTTTCGTTCCACCGGCACCACATTTGCTCAGGCCAATCTACACCCCATGGCCATTAAAATTTATCAAAATCATGACGCTGCACCCCACGGTTTAGGTTCTAGGGGGCGCCAAAGATAACCCTAAAATCCACATATTTAAAAGTCTTATAACTTTTTATTTTTGTCCTCACTGGCCTCCAAGTTTTCTAGGATGATGCAATGTCCAGCCATCAACACATTTGTGAAGGAATTTTTACTCCCCAAAAGAGCGCCCCCCCATGGCAGGAGAAAAAGTCAAGTTTTTCCTGCCCATCGCTCAATGGCTCAAACGCATCGCTCTCTCGGCAAAACCGAAAGGAGGAGCAACTTGCCATTCGGATATATCTTAGCTGTGTTTGTGCCCTCACTCATGGTCCAGACTTTTTTCAAATAGGACATGGAGTTTTTCTGCAGCGAGCGTTTTGGTAGAAACTGCGTCTCCCATTCATTATAATGGTAAATGACCACAGACAAGTGCGCACACCATCTTTGGACCTTGAGTGTGACGCGATCGGGAGGGGTAGGCAGTTGCGCTGGAGGCGGCGCGACACGGCTCGGGCCCGCCAGTGCCCCACCGGGGCCCTAGTTTGTTATTATTATTATTTTTCCTCCCCTTTGAACTGGAAAATGGCCCACTTCCCACTGGCGAAAACTCATGAAATTTGGCAGGACGACCGGGCCTGGTGAAAAATTTGATATTCCGAAGTCGCCCAAACAAGAAAATGCAAAATGGCTCCATAGCGCCCCCTAAGGTGAAAATTCACACTATTGACTGTCACGCCTGTACGCTTTGTCAAAATGACACAAAAATTGACACACACATGTATCTCAATAAGATCTACAAAAAAGTCAGTGCGGGCGTATCTGTCAAATGTACGGTTAAAGGGTTATTTCGCATTTTTTGCCGATCCGCACACATTGCAATTTCGCTAACTCCTCCGAAGGCTTTCGTTCCACCGGCACCACATTTGCTCAGGCCAATCTACACCCCATGGCCATTAAAAGTTATTCAAATCATGATGCTGCACCCCACGGTTTAGGTTCTAGGGGGCGCCAAAAATAACCCTAAAATCCACATATTTAAAAGTCTTATAACTTTTTATTTTTGTCCTCACTGCCCTCCAAGTTTTCTAGGATGATGCAATGTCCAGCCATCAACACATTTGTGAAGGAATTTTTACTCCCCAAAAGAGCGCCCCCCCATGGCAGGAGAAAAAAGTCAATTTTTTCTTGTCCCCTTACATGAAAATACACATTGTTGAGTGTCACGCCTGAACGCTTTGTCATATTGACACAAAAATTGACAATCATGTGTATCTCAATTAGATCTACGAAAAAGTCAAAGAGCGCGTATCTGTATAATGTACGGTTAAAGGGCTATTTCGCATTTTTTGCCGATTCGCACACATTGGAATGTGGCTATCTCCTCCTAAGGCTTTCGTCCCACTGATACCAAATTTGCTCAGGGCAATCTACACCCCATGCCCATTCAAAGTTGTAAAAATCATGACGCTGCACCCCACGGTTTACGTTCTAGGGGGCGCCAAAGATGACCCAAAAATCCACATTCTTAAAAGTCATTTTGGCCACTGCAGGAGTACAGAGTACTGCAGTTCTAGGGGGCGCCAAAGATGACCCAAAAATCCACATTCTTAAAAGTCTTTTTGGCCACTGCAGGAGTACAGAGTACTGCAGGATACACACACATATACACACACGCCAACACACACACACACACACACACACACACACACACACACACACACACACACTCAGAGTCTGTTTTTTAGCACCTGCAAAAACATGCTGTTTACATATTTGACAAGAATGCAGAGGCTTCCTTTTGCCCCTGAAAAAAATCAAATTTCAAACACAACTTGACTGTTCATTTCCCCAAAAGACAACCATGAAGCTCTATCCAAACCTGAAGCAGATAGTTGGTGCATGTGTACAGTAACCTGAGGGGAGTGAGGTGACTATTTCTGAGGAGAACATGAGCAGTGAAGATTCACCTTGGAGCTAGAACAGGGACGTGCACATGATTATACAGGGGCAGGGGCTCAAGTTTTTTCCAGTCATTTATACAATATGGAAATTAATGTGAAATTAAAAAACAAAGTATTAATAGAAAGGTTATGACTGTCCTGTGTAGATGACAGTGATATCCAATAGGCTAGGCACTCACGAGGCTGGCTGTGGCAAGTGTAAGTGAAAGCAACACGCACTGGCAGGAAGAACAGCAAACGCCGATGAAGGAAAGTGTCTTTGCAGTGATGGGCGTTACCAGAGAGGACGATGGCCAGAGGACGCAAATGGGACGGGGAGGCAGCGCGTTGGGGGGGGCAGCGCGACACGGCTCGGGCCCGCCAGTGCCCCAACGGGGCCCTAGTTATTATTATTATTTTTCCTCCCCTTTGAACTGGAAAATGGCCCACTTCCCACTGGCGAAAACTCATGAAATTTGGCAGGACGACCGGGCCTGGTGAAAAATTTGATATTCCGAAGTCGCCCAAACAAGAAAATGCAAAATGGCTCCATAGCGCCCCCTAAGGTGAAAATTCACACTATTCACTGTCACGCCTGTACGCTTTGTCAAAATGACACAAAAATTGACACACACATGTATCTCAATAAGATCTACAAAAAAGTCAGTGCGGGCGTATCTGTCAAATGTACGGTTAAAGGGTTATTTCGCATTTTTTGCCGATCCGCACACATTGGAATTTCGCTAACTCCTCCGAAGGCTTTCGTTCCACCGGCACCACATTTGCTCAGGCCAATCTACACCCCATGGCCATTAAAAGTTATTCAAATCATGACGCTGCACCCCACGGTTTAGGTTCTAGGGGGCGCCAAAGATAACCCTAAGATCCACATATTTAAAAGTCTTATAACTTTTTATTTTTGCCCTCACTGGCCTCCAAGTTTTCTAGGATGATGCAATGTCCAGCCATCAACACATTTGTGAAGGAATTTTTACTCCCCAAAAGAGCGCCCCCCATGGCAGGAGAAAAAAGTCCATTTTTTCTTGTCCCCTAAGGTGAAAATACACATTGTTGAGTGTAACACCTGTACGCTTTGGCAAAATGACACAAAAATTGACACACACATGTATCTCAATAAGATCTACGAAAAAGTCAATGCGCGCGTATCTGTCAAATGTACGGTTAAAGGGTTATTCCGCATTTTTTGCCGATCCGCACACATTGGAATTTCGCTAACTCCTCCGAAGGCTTTCGTTCCACCGGCACCACATTTGCTCAGGCCAATCTACACCCCATGGCCATTAAAAGTTATTCAAATCATGATGCTGCACCCCACGGTTTAGGTTCTAGGGGGCGCCAAAGATAACCCTAAGATCCACATATTTAAAAGTCTTATAACTTTTTATTTTTGTCCTCACTGGCCTCCAAGTTTTCTAGGATGATGCAATGTCCAGCCATCAACACATTTGTGAAGGAATTTTTACTCGCCAAAAGAGCGCCCCCCCATGGCAGGAGAAAAAAGTCCATTTTTTCTTGTCCACTAAGGTGAAAATACACATTGTTGAGTGCTACGCCTGTATGTTTTGTCGTATTGACACAAAATTTTACATACACGTGTATTTCAATAAGATCTTCGAAAAAGTCAATGGCCACGTATCTGTAAAATGTACGGTTAAAGGGTTATTTCGCATTTTTTGCAGATTCGCACACATTGGAATTTCGCTAACTCCTCCGAAGGCTTTCGTTCCACCGGCACCACATTTGCTCAGGCCAATCTACACCCCATGGCCATTAAAAGTTATTCAAATCATGACGCTGCACCCCACGGTTTAGGTTCTAGGGGGCGCCAAAGATAACCCTAAAATCCACATATTTAAAAGTCTTATAACTTTTTATTTTTGTCCTCACTGGCCTCCATGTTTTCTAGGATGATGCAATGTCCAGCCATCAACACATTTGTGAAGGAGTTTTTTCTCGTTAAAAGAGCGCCCCCCCCATGGCAGGAGAATAAAGTCAAGTTTTTCCTGTTCATCATTCAATGGCTCAAACGCACTGCTCTCTCGGCAAAAGCGAAAGGAGGAGCAACTTGCCATTTGGATATATCTTAGCTGTGTTTGTGCCCTCACTCATGGTCCAGACTTTTTTCAAATAGGACATGGAGTTTTTCTGCAGCGAGCGCTTTGGTAGAAACTGCGCCTCCCGTTCACTATAATGGTAATTGACCACAAACAAGTGCGCACACCATCTTTGGACCTTGAGTGTGACGCGATCGGGTGGGGGAGGCGGTCGCGCTGGGGGCGGCGTGACACGGCTCACGCCCGCCAGTGCCCCAACGGGGCCCTAGTTATTATTAGGGCCCGAGCGTAGCTGCTAAGCAGCTGCGAGAGCCCTATTATTCCCCAAGTGGTTTTTCTTTGTTTCTTTTTTCTTTTTCCTCCCCTTTGAACTGGAAAATGGCCCACTTCCCACTGGCGAAAACTCATGAAATTTGGTAGGACGACCGGGCCTGGTGAAAAATTTGATATTCTGAAGTCGCCCAAACAATACAATGCAAAATGGCTCCATAGCGCCCCCTAAGGTGAAAAATTCACCTGACGCCTGTACGCTTTGTCAAAATGACACAAAAATTGACACACACATGTATCTCAATAAGATCTACAAAAAAGTCAGTGCGGCCGTATCTGTCAAATGTACGGTTAAAGGGTTATTGCGCATTTTTTGCCGATCCGCACACATTGGAATTTCGCTAACTCCTCCTAAGGCTTTCGTTCCACCGGCACCACATTTGCTCAGGCCAATCTACACCCCATGGCCATTAAAAGTTATTCAAATCATGACGCTGCACCCCACGGTTTAGGTTCTAGGGGGCGCCAAAGATAACCCTAAAATCCACATATTTAAAAGTCTTATAACTTTTTATTTTTGCCCTCACTGGCCTCCAAGTTTTCTAGGATGATGCAATGTCCAGCCATCAACACATTTGTGAAGGAATTTTTACTCCCCAAAAGAGCGCCCCCCCATGGCAGGAGAAAAAAGTCCATTTTTTCTTGTCCCATAAGGTGAAAATTCACATTGTTGAGTGTCACGCCTATACGCTTTGTCAAAATGACACGAAAATTGACACACACATGTAACTCAATAAGATCTACAAAAAAGTCAATGCGCGCGTATCTGTCAAATGTACAGTTAAAGGGTTATTCCCCTTTTTTGCCGATACGCACACATTGGAATTTCGCTAACTCCTCCGAAGGCTTTCGTTCCACCGGCACCACATTTGCTCAGGCCAATCTACACCCCATGGCCATTAAAAGTTATTCAAATCATGATGCTGCACCCCATGGTTTAGGTTCTAGGGGGCGCCAAAAATAACCCAAAAATCCACATTCTTAAATGTTTTATAACTTTTTTTTTTTGTCCTCACTGGCCTCCAAGTTTTCTAGGATGATGCAATGTCCAGCCATCAACACATTTGTGAAGGAATTTTTACTCCCCAAAAGAGCGCCCCCCCCATGGTAGGAGAAAAAAGTCAATTTTTTCTTGTCCCCTTACATGAAAATACACATTGTTGAGTGTCACGCCTGAACGCTTTGTCATATTGACACAAAAATTGACAATCATGTGTATCTCAATTAGATCTACGAAAAAGTCAAAGATTGCGTATCTGTATAATGTACGGTTAAAGGGCTATTTTGCATTTTTTGCCAATTCGCACACATTGGAATGTGGCTATCTCCTCCTAAGGCTTTCGTCCCACCGATACCAAATTTGCTCAGGGCAATCTACACCCCATGCCCATACAAAGTTGTAAAAATCATGACGCTGCACCCCACGGTTTACGTTCTAGGGGGCGCCAAAGATGACCCAAAAATCCACATTCTTAAAAGTCATTTTGGCCACTGCAGGAGTACAGAGTACTGCAGTTCTAGGGGGCGCCAAAGATGACCCAAAAATCCACATTCTTAAAAGTCTTTTTGGCCACTGCAGGAGTACAGAGTACTGCAGGATACACACACATATACACACACGCCAACATACACACACACACACACACACACAGACACACACACACACTCAGAGTCTGTTTTTTAGCACCTGCAAAAACATGCTGTTTACATATTTGACAAGAATGCAGAGGCTCCTTTTGCCCCTGAAAAAAATCAAATTTCAAACATAACTTGACTGTTCATTTCTCCAAAAGACAACCATGAAGCTCCATTTCAAACCTGAAGCAGATAGTTGGTGCATGTGTACAGTAACCTGAGGGGAGTGAGGTGACTATTTCTGAGGAGAACATGAGCAGTGAAGATTCACCTTGGAGCTAGAACAGAGACATGCACATGATTATACAGGGGCAGGGGCTCAAGTTTTTTCCAGTCATTTATACAATATGGAAATTAATGTGAAATTAAACCACAAATATGTGTGATGAACTGTTTTTCAAACTTAAACTTCAAATAAAAATTGTAAACTTCAAAACATATGCAAATTTTTAACAAAGAACATAGTAATTTACCTCTATTGACATCAAAATGCAGGCAATGGCCCAGGTGAACTTTGTAAAATTATTTACAAAACACTGTATAGTCTCACAAATGTCACTTTTTATTTATGCCACTACAAAAAAACATGATGTAAATGATGCATGATGTAAAACATGATGTAAAAAACTTGTGTAGATCCTCCTCTATGTCAGTCCATGTGTAATTTTTCCATAATTCTTTGTTTTTTGCAGCATTTTTGTTAGTGTAACTGCAGATTGTGCTGACAGTGTCTATGGCAAAAAAAAAAAAAAAACTGAAAATGCCTCAACATGAACCCCTGGTGGTCTCTGAGGGTGAAACCTGCTAACTGCTGCAGCTCTGTCAGCTTCAGTCTCCCATGCAGAGCCCGGAGCGCATGTGTGGCTCTGCACCCTTAGCAGCGTTGCTAACTCCTCAGTAAGGAAAGCCTGCTTCATGTCAGAGTCTCTAAACTCCAGAAGAAGTCGATAAAAGTCCCTTTCTTTCTAAAAAGTCGTTAGGGGGTCTGAAAAGTCATTGAATCTAACAACAAAGTCGCTAGGTTTGCAACTACGTGTCCCAGACTGCATCCCTGCTGAGAGTCCCTCCCTCCCTTCTCATATTGCAGGAAGAACATAAGTTCCCGCCCCTTGTCAATCAGTCACCATATAATTTTGGATTGGTTGTTGTGGTGAAGTTTTCCACCAATAGGAGAGATGTTGTGGTGTGTTTTTTTTTTTCCTTTGGCAAGCCTTTTCCGCCTGTAAGACCTGTCGCTAATGTCTGCATGCTATGTTTTCCTGTCTCATACAGCGCGATCGAGCGCCGAACGTGATCAAAATAAGCAGAAAAAAAGTATCGCGGACATAATTTATCATAACTCTGGTTTTATTTGGCCTATCAACACAATTTAAAAACTGGTATATAGGTTGAGGTCCTCACTTTTGAGATAAATTGAAACGGAGAGTCAACGAGGCTCCGTCTTGCAGCTACATCCGGTTAAATATGTCATGTGACTTGAACGCACACACACACACACACACAGACACACACACACACACACGCACACACACACACACACTCAGAGTCTGGTTTGTAGCACCTGCAAAAACATGCTATTTACATATTTGACAAGAATGCAGAGGCTCCTTTTGCCCCTGAAAAAAATCAAATTTCAAACACAACTTGACTGGTCATTTCTCCAAAAGACAACCATGAAGCTCCATCCAAACCTGAAGCAGGCAGTTGGTGCATGTGTACAGTAACCTGAGGGGAGTGAGGTGACTGCTTCTGAGGAGAACATGAGCAGTGAAGATTTACCTTAGAGCTAGAACAGAGACGTGCACATGATTATACAGGGGCAGGGGCTCAAGTTTTTTCCAGTCGTTTATACAATTTGGAAATTAATGTGAAATTAAAAAACAAAGTATTAATAGAAAGGTAATGACTGTCCTGTGTAGGTGACAGTGATATCCAATAGGCTAGGCACTCACGAGGCTGGCTGTGGCAAGTGTAAGTGAAAGCAACACGCACTGGCAGGAAGAACAGCAAACGCCGATGAAGGAAAAGGGTCTTTGCAGTGATGGGCGTTACCAAAGAGGGCGATGGCCAGAGGACACAAATGGGACGGGGAGGCAGCGCGTTGGGGGGGGGGGACGCGACACAGCTCGGGCCCGCCAGTGCCCCAACGGGGTCCTAGTTAGGGCCCGAGCCAGCTGCAGAGCAGCCGGGCGTAGGCCCTGTTATTCCTGTAGGGGTTTTTCTTTGTTTCTTTCTTTCTTCTTTTTCCTCCCCTTTGAACTGGAAAATGGCCCACTTCCCACTGGCGAAAACTCAGGAAATTTGGCAGGACGACCGGGCCTGGTGAAAAATTTGATATTCCGAAGTCGCCCAAACAAGAAAATGCAAAATGGCTCCATAGCGCCCCCTAAGGTGAAAATTCACACTATTGACTGTCACGCCTGTACGCTTTGTCAAAATGACACAAAAATTGACACACACATGTATCTCAATAAGATCTACAAAAAAGTCCATGAGCGCGTATCTGTCAAATGTACGGTTAAAGGGTTATTTCGCATTTTTTGCCGATCCGCACACATTGGAATTTCGCTAACTCCTCCGAAGGCTTTCGTTCCACCGGCACCACATTTGCTCAGGCCAATCTACACCCCATGGCCATTAAAAGTTATTCAAATCATGACGCTGCACCCCACGGTTTAGGTTCTAGGGGGCGCCAAAGATAACCCTAAAATCCACATTTTTAAAAGTCTTATAACTTTTTATTTTTGCCCTCACTGGCCTCCAAGTTTTCTAGGATGATGCAATGTCCAGCCATCAACACATTTGTGAAGGAATTTTTACTCCCCAAAAGAGCGCCCCCCCATGGCAGGAGAAAAAAGTCCATTTTTTTCTTGTCCCCTAAGGTGAAAATTCACACTATTGACTGTCATGCCTGTACGCTTTGTCAAAATGACACAAAAATTGACACACACATGTATCTCAATAAGATCTACAAAAAAGTCAGTGCGGGCGTATCTGTCAAATGTACGGTTAAAGGATTATTGCGCATTTTTTGCCGATCTGCACACATTGGAATTTCGCTAACTCCTCCGAAGGCTTTCGTTCCACCGGCACCACATTTGCTCAGGCCAATCTACACCCCATGGCCATTAAAAGTTGTACAAATCATGACGCTGCACCCCACGGTTTACGTTCTAGGGGGCGCCAAAGATAACCCAAAAATCCACATTCTTAAAAGTCTAATAACTTTTTATTTTTGTCCTCACTGGCCTCCAAGTTTTCTAGGATGATGCAATGTCCAGCCATCAACACATTTGTGAAGGAATTTTTACCCCCCAAAAGAGCGCCCCCCCATGGCAGGAGAAAAAAGTCCATTTTTTCTTGTCCCCTAAGGTGAAAATACATATTGTTGAGTGTCACGCCTATACGCTTTGTCATATTGACACAAAATTTGACACACACGTGTATCTCAATAAGATCTACGAAAAAGTCAATGCGCACGTATCTGTAAAATGTACGGTTAAAGGGCTATTACGCATTTTTGATCGATTCGCACACATTGGAATGTGGCTAACTCCTCCTAAAGCTTTCGTTCCACCGGCACCAAATTTGCTCAGGCCAATCTACACCCCATGGCCATTAAAAGTTGTACAAATCATGACGCTGCACCCCACGGTTTACGTTCTAGGGGGCGCCAAAGATAACCCAAAAATCCACATTCTTAAAAGTCTTATAACTTTTCATTTTTGTCCTCACTGGCTTCGAAGTTTTCTAGGATGATGCAATGTCTAACCATCAACACATTTGTGAAGGAATTTTTACTCCTCAAAAGAGCGCCCCCCCATGGCAGGAGAAAAAGTCAAGTTTTTCCTGCCCATCGCTCAATGGCTCAAACACATGTAATGTGTTCAAACTCCTCCGAAAGGAGGAGCAACTTGCCATTTGGATATATCCTAGCTGTGTTTGTGCCCTCACTCATGGTCCAGACTTTTTTCAAATAGGACATGTAGTTTGTCTGCAGCGAGCGTTTTGGTAGAAACTGCGCCTCCCAATCATTATAATGGTAAATGACCACAGACAAGTGCGAACACCATCTTTGGACCTTGAGTGTGACGCGATCGGGAGGGAGAGGCGGTCGTGTTGGGGGCGGCGCGACACAGCTCGGGCCCGCCAGTGCCCCAACGGGGCCCTAGTCTTCTTATTATTTTTCTGCCCCTTTGAACTGGAAAATGGCCCACTTCCCACTGGTGAAAAGTCATGAAATTTGGCAGGACGACCAGGCCTGGTGAAAAATTCGATATTCTGAAGTCGCCCAAAAAATCAAATGCAAAATGGCTCTATAGCGCCCCCTAAGGTGAAAAATTCACATGATTGAGTGTCACGCCTGTACGCTTTGTCAAAATTACACAAAATTTGACACACACGTGTATCTCAATAAGATCTACAAAAAAGTCAGTGCGGGCGTATCTGTCAAATGTACGGTTAAAGGGCTATTTCGCATTTTTTGCCGATCCGCACACATTGGAATTTCGCTAACTCCTCCGAAGGCTTTCGTTCCACCGGCACCAAATTTGCTCAGGCCAATCTACACCCCATGGCCATTAAAAGTTGTACAAATCATGACGCTGCATCCCACGGTTTACGTTCTAGGGGGCGCCAAAGATAACCCAGAAATCCACATTCTTAAAAGTCGTATAACTTTTTATTTTTGTCCTCACTGGCCTCCAAGTTTTCTAGGATGATGCAATGTCTAGCCATCAACACATTTGTGAAGGAATTTTTACTCCCCAAAAGAGCGCCCCCCCATGGCAGGAGAAAAAAGTCCAGTTTTTCTTCCCCCCTAAGGTGAAAATTCACATTATTGAGTGTCACGCCTGTACGCTTTGTCATATTGAAATAAACTTTGACAATCACGTGTTTCTCAATAAGATCTACGAAACAGTCAATGGGCGCGTATCTGTAAAATGTATGGTTAAAGGGCTATTTCGCATTTTTGGTCGATTCGCACACATTGGAATGTGGCTAACTCCTCCTAAAGCTTTCGTTCCACTGACACCAAATTTGCTCAGGCCAATCTACACCCCATGGCCATTAAAAGTTGTACAAATCATGACGCTGCATCCCACGGTTTACGTTCTAGGGGGCGCCAAAGATAACCCAGAAATCCACATTCTTAAAAGTCGTATAACTTTTTATTTTTGTCCTCACTGGCCTCCAAGTTTTCTAGGATGATGCAATGTCTAGCCATCAACACATTTGTGAAGGAATTTTTACTCCCCAAAAGAGCGCCCCCCCATGGCAGGAGAAAAAAGTCCAGTTTTTCTTCCCCCCTAAGGTGAAAATTCACATTATTGAGTGTCACGCCTGTACGCTTTGTCATATTGAAACAAACTTTGACAATCACGTGTTTCTCAATAAGATCTACGAAACAGTCAATGGGCGCGTATCTGTAAAATGTATGGTTAAAGGGCTATTTCGCATTTTTGGTCGATTCGCACACATTGGAATGTGGCTAACTCCTCCTAAAGCTTTCGTTCCACTGACACCAAATTTGCTCAGGCCAATCTACACCCCATGGCCATTCAAAGTTGTAAAAATGGCAGGAGAAAAAGTCAAGTTTTTCCTGCCCATCGCTCAATGACTCAAACACATCGCTCTCTCGGCAAAACCGAAAGGAGGAGCAACTTGCCATTTGGATATATCCTAGCTGTGTTTGTGCCCTCACTCATGGTCCAGTCCTTTTCAAATAGGACATGTAGTTTGTCTGCGGCGAGCGTTTTGGTAGAAACTGTGCCTCCCATTCATTATAATTGTAAATGACCACAGACAAGTGCGCACACCATCTTTGGACCTTGAGTGTGACGCGATCGGTAGGGAGAGGCGGTCGTGTTGGGGGCGGCGCGACACGGCTCGGGCCCGCCAGTGCCCCAACGGGGCCCTAGTTCTTCTTCTTCTTATTAGGGCCCGAGCGTAGCTGCTAAGCAGCTGCGAGAGCCCTATTATTCCCCAAGTGGTTTTTCTTTGTTTCTTTCTTTCTTTCTTTCTTCTTTTTCCTCCCCTTTGAACTGGAAAATGGCCCACTTCCCACTGGCGAAAACTCATGAAATTTGGCAGGATGACCGGGCCTGGTGAAAAATTTGATATTCCGAAGTCGCCCAATCAAGAAAATGCAAAATGGCTCCATAGCGCCCCCTAAGGTGAAAATTCACACTATTGACTGTCACGCCTTTACGCTTTGTCAAAATGACACAAAAATTGACACACATATGTATCTCAATAAGATCTACAAAAAAGTCAGTGCGGGCGTATCTGTCAAATGTACGGTTAAAGGGTTATTCCGCATTTTTTGCCGATCCACACACATTGGAGTTTCGCTAACTCCTCCGAAGGCTTTCTTTCCACCGGCACCACATTTGCTCAGGCCAATCTACACCCCATGGCCATTAAAAGTTATTCAAATCATGACGCTGCACCCCACGGTTTAGGTTCTAGGGGGCGCCAAAGATAACCCTAAAATCCACATATTTAAAAGTCTTATAACTTTTTATTTTTGTCCTCTCTGGCCTCCAAGTTTTCTAGGATGATGCAATGTCCAGCCATCAACACATTTGTGAAGGAATTTTTACTCCCCAAAAGAGCGCCCCCCCATGGCAGGAAAAAAAAATTCAATTTTTTCTTGTCCCGTAAGGTGAAAATTCACATTGTTGAGTGTGACACCTGTACGCTTTGTCATATTGACACAAAATTTGACAATCACGTGTATCTCAATAAGATCTACGAAAAAGTCAATGGGTGCGTATCTGTCAAATGTACAGTTAGAGGGCTATTTTGCATTTTTTGCCGATTCGCACACATTGGAATGTGGCTAACTCCTCCTAAGGCTTTCGTCCCACTGAAACCAAATTTGCTCAGGCCAATCTACACCCCATGGCCATTCAAAGTTGTAAAAATCATGACGCTGCACCCCACGGTTTACGTTCTAGGGGGCGCCAAAGATGACCAAAAAATCCACATTCTTAAAAGAATCCACATTCTCCCCCCCCCATGGCAGGAGAAAAAGTCAAGTTTTTCCTGCCCATCGCTCAATGGCTCAATCGCATCGCTCTCCAGGCAACACCGTAACGAGGAGCAACCTGCCATTTGGATATATCCCAGCTGTGTTTGTGCCCTCACTCATGGTCCAGACTTTTTTCAAATAGGACATGAAGTTTGTCTGCAGCGAGTGTTTTGGTAGAAACTGCGCCTCCCATTCATTATAATGGGAAATGACCACAGACAAGTGCGCACACCATCTTTGGACCTTGAGTGTGACGCGATCGGGAGGGGGAGGCGGTCACGCTGGGGGCGGCACGACGCGGCTCGGGCCCGACAGTGCCCCACCGGGGCCCTAGTTATTAGGGCCCGAGCGTAGCTGCTAAGCAGCTGCGAGAGCCCTATTATTCCCCAAGTGGTTTTTCTTTGTTTCTTTTTTCTTTTTCCTCCCCTTTGAACTGGAAAATGGCCCACTTCCCACTGGCGAAAACTCATGAAATTTGGCAGGACGACCGGGCCTGGTGAAAAATTGGATATTCCGAAGTCGCCCAAACAATACAATGCAAAATGGCTCCATAGCGCCCCCTAAGGTGAAAATTCACACTATTGACTGTCACGCCTTTACGCTTTGTCAAAATGACACAAAAATTGACACACATATGTATCTCAATAAGATCTACAAAAAAGTCAGTGCGGGCGTATCTGTCAAATGTACGGTTAAAGGGTTATTCCGCATTTTTTGCCGATCCACACACATTGGAGTTTCGCTAACTCCTCCGAAGGCTTTCTTTCCACCGGCACCACATTTGCTCAGGCCAATCTACACCCCATGGCCATTAAAAGTTATTCAAATCATGACGCTGCACCCCACGGTTTAGGTTCTAGGGGGCGCCAAAGATAACCCTAAAATCCACATATTTAAAAGTCTTATAACTTTTTATTTTTGTCCTCTCTGGCCTCCAAGTTTTCTAGGATGATGCAATGTCCAGCCATCAACACATTTGTGAAGGAATTTTTACTCCCCAAAAGAGCGCCCCCCCATGGCAGGAAAAAAAAATTCAATTTTTTCTTGTCCCGTAAGGTGAAAATTCACATTGTTGAGTGTGACACCTGTACGCTTTGTCATATTGACACAAAATTTGACAATCACGTGTATCTCAATAAGATCTACGAAAAAGTCAATGGGTGCGTATCTGTCAAATGTACAGTTAGAGGGCTATTTTGCATTTTTTGCCGATTCGCACACATTGGAATGTGGCTAACTCCTCCTAAGGCTTTCGTCCCACTGAAACCAAATTTGCTCAGGCCAATCTACACCCCATGGCCATTCAAAGTTGTAAAAATCATGACGCTGCACCCCACGGTTTACGTTCTAGGGGGCGCCAAAGATGACCAAAAAATCCACATTCTTAAAAGAATCCACATTCTCCCCCCACATGGCAGGAGAAAAAGTCAAGTTTTTCCTGCCCATCGCTCAATGGCTCAATCGCATCGCTCTCCAGGCAACACCGTAACGAGGAGCAACCTGCCATTTGGATATATCCCAGCTGTGTTTGTGCCCTCACTCATGGTCCAGACTTTTTTCAAATAGGACATGAAGTTTGTCTGCAGCGAGTGTTTTGGTAGAAACTGCGCCTCCCATTCATTATAATGGGAAATGACCACAGACAAGTGCGCACACCATCTTTGGACCTTGAGTGTGACGCGATCGGGAGGGGGAGGCGGTCACGCTGGGGGCGGCACGACGCGGCTCGGGCCCGACAGTGCCCCACCGGGGCCCTAGTTATTAGGGCCCGAGCGTAGCTGCTAAGCAGCTGCGAGAGCCCTATTATTCCCCAAGTGGTTTTTCTTTGTTTCTTTTTTCTTTTTCCTCCCCTTTGAACTGGAAAATGGCCCACTTCCCACTGGCGAAAACTCATGAAATTTGGCAGGACGACCGGGCCTGGTGAAAAATTGGATATTCTGAAGTCGCCCAAACAATACAATGCAAAATGGCTCCATAGCTCCCCCTAAGGTGAAAAATTCACCTGACGCCTGTACGCTTTGTCAAAATGACACAAAAATTGACACACACATGTATCTCAATAAGATCTACAAAAAAGTCAGTGCGGGCGTATCTGTCAAATGTACGGTTAAAGGGTTATTGCGCATTTTTTGCCGATCCGCACACATTGGAATTTCGCTAACTCCTCCGAAGGCTTTCGTTCCACCGGCACCACATTTGCTCAGGCCAATCTACACCCCATGGCCATTAAAAGTTATTCAAATCATGACGCTGCACCCCACGGTTTAGGTTCTAGGGGGCGCCAAAGATAACCCTAAAATCCACATATTTAAAAGTCTTATAACTTTTTATTTTTGCCCTCACTGGCCTCCAAGTTTTCTAGGATGATGCAATGTCCAGCCATCAACACATTTGTGAAGGAATTTTTACTCCCCAAAAGAGCGCCCCCCCATGGCAGGAGAAAAAAGTCCATTTTTTCTTGTCCCATAAGGTGAAAATTCACACTATTGACTGTCACGCCTGTACGCTTTGTCAAAATTACACAAAAATTGACACACACATGTATCTCAATAAGATCTACAAAAAAGTCAGTGCGGGCGTATCTGTCAAATGTACGGTTAAAGGGTTATTCCGCATTTTTTGCCGATCCGCACACATTGGAATTTTGCTAACTACTCCGAAGGCTTTCTTTCCACCGGCACCACATTTGCTCAGGCCAATCTACACCCCATGGCCATTAAAAGTTATTCAAATCATGACGCTGCACCCCACGGTTTAGGTTCTAGGGGGCACCAAAGATAACCCTAAAATCCACATATTTAAAAGTCTTATAACTTTTTATTTTTGCCCTCACTGGCCTCCAAGTTTTCTAGGATGATGCAATGTCCAGCCATCAACACATTTGTGAAGGAATTTTTACTCCCCAAAAGAGCGCCCCCCATGGCCGGAGAAAAAAGTCCATTTTTTCTTGTCCCCTAAGGTGAAAATACACATTGTTGAGTGTCACGCCTGTACGCTTTGTCATATTGACACAAAATTTGACACACACATGTATCTCAATAAGATCTACGAAAAAGTCAATGCGCGCGTATCTGTCAAATGTACGGTTAAAGGGTTATTCCACATTTTTTGCTGATCCGCACACATTGGAATTTCGCTAACTCCTCCTAAGGCTGGCGTTCCACCGGCACCACATTTGCTCAGGCCAATCTACACCCCATGGCCATTAAAAGTTATTCAAATCATGACGCTGCAACCCACGGTTTACGTTCTAGGGGGCGCCAAAGATAACCCTAAAATCCACATATTTCAAAGTCTTATAACTTTTTATTTTTGTCCTCACTGGCCTCCAAGTTTTCTAGGATGATGCAATGTCCAGCTATCAACACATTTGTGAAGGAATTTTTACTCCCCAAAAGAGCGCCCCCCCATGGCAGGAGAAAAAAGTCCATTTTTTCTTGTCCCCTAAGGTGAAAATACACATTGTAGAGTGTCACGCCTGTACGCTTTGTCAAAATGACACAAAATTTGACATACACGTGTATTTCAATAAGATCTTCGAAAAAGTCAATGGCCACGTATATGTAAAATGTACAGTTAAAGGGTTATTTCACATTTTTTGCAGATCCGCACACATTGGAATTTGGCTAACTCCTCCTAAGGCTTTCGTCCCACTGACACCAAATTTGCTCAGGCCAATCTACACCCCATGGCCATTCAAAGTTGTAAAAATCATGACGCTGCACCCCACGGTTTACGTTCTAGGGGGCGCCAAAGATGACCCAAATATCCACATTCTTAAAAGAATCCACATCCCCCCCCCCATCCCCCATCCCCCATGGCAGGAGAAACAGTCAAGTTTTTCCTTCCCATCACTCAATGGCTCAATCGCATCACTCTCCCGGCAACACCGTAACAAGGAGCAACTTGCCGTTTGGATATATCCTAGCTGTGTTTGTGCCCTCACTCATGGTCCAGACTTTTTTCAAATAGGACATGTAGTTTGTCTGCAGCGAGTGTTTTGGTAGAAACTGCGCCTCCCATTCATTATAATGGGAAATGACCACAGACAAGTGCGCACACCATCTTTGGACCTTGAGTGTGACGCGATCGGGAGGGGGAGGCGGTCGCGCTGGGGGCGGCGCAACGCGGCTCGGGCCCGACAGTGCCCCACCGGGGTCCTAGTTAGGGCCCGAGCGTAGCTGCTAAGCAGCTGCGAGAGCCCTCTTGTTCCTGTAGTTTCCTTCTTTTGTTATTATTATTATTTTTCCTCCCCTTTGAACTGGAAAATGGCCCACTTCCCACTGGCGAAAACTCATGAAATTTGGCAGGACGACCGGGCCTGGTGAAAAATTTGATATTCCGAAGTCGCCCAAACAAGAAAATGCAAAATGGCTCCATAGCGCCCCCTAAGGTGAAAATTCACACTATTGACTGTCACGCCTGTACACTTTGTCAAAATGACACAAAAATTGACACACACATGTATCTCAATAAGATCTACAAAAAAGTCAGTGCGGGCGTATCTGTCAAATGTACGGTTAAAGGGTTATTTCGCATTTTTTGCCGATCCGCACACATTGGAATTTCGCTAACTCCTCCGAAGGCTTTCGTTCCACCGGCACCACATTTGCTCAGGCCAATCTACACCCCATGGCCATTAAAAGTTATTCAAATCATGACGCTGCACCCCACGGTTTAGGTTCTAGGGGGCGCCAAAGATAACCCTAAAATCCACATATTTAAAAGTCTTATAACTTTTTATTTTTGCCCTCACTGGCCTCCAAGTTTTCTAGGATGATGCAATGTCCAGCCATCAACACATTTGTGAAGGAATTTTTACTCCCCAAAAGAGCGCCCCCCCATGGCAGGAGAAAAAAGTCCATTTTTTCTTGTCCCCTAAGGTGAAAATTCACACTATTGACTGTCACGCCTGTACGCTTTGTCAAAATGACACAAAAATTGACACACACATGTATCTCAATAAGATCTACAAAAAAGTCCATGCGCGCGTATCTGTCTAATGTACGGTTAAAGGGTTATTTCGCATTTTTTGCCGATCCGCACACATTGGAATTTCGCTAACTCCTCCGAAGGCTTTCGTTCCACCGGCACCACATTTGCTCAGGCCAATCTACACCCCATGGCCATTAAAAGTTATTCAAATCATGACGCTGCACCCCACGGTTTACGTTCTAGGGGGCGCCAAAGATAACCCAAAAATCCACAGTCTTAAAAGTCTTATAACTTTTTATTTTTGTCCTCACTGGCCTCCAAGTTTTCTAGGATGATGCAATGTCCAGCCATCAACACATTTGTGAAGGAATTTTTACTCCCCAAAAGAGCGCCCCCCCATGGCATGAGAAAAAAGTCCATTTTTTCTTGTCCCCTAAGGTGAAAATACACATTGTTGACTGTCACGCCTGTACCCTTTGGCAAAATGACACAAAAATTGACAATCATGTGTATCTCAATTAGATCTACGAAAAAGTCAAAGAGCGCGTATCTGTATAATGTACGGTAAAAGGGCTATTTTGCATTTTTTGCCGATTCGCACACATTGGAATTTCGCTAACTCCTCCTAAGGCTTTCGTCCCACTGACACCAAATTTGCTCAGGCCAATCTACACTCCATGGCCATTCAAAGTTGTAAAAATCATGACGCTGCACCCCACGGTTTACGTTTTAGGGGGCGCCAAAGATGACCCAAATATACATTACAGTAGACAAAGTAGTTTTGCCCACTGAGTGGCGCCAAAGGGACTTGTCTGTGGAGTCCGTGAGTCACTATTGGCCGTTTTTGACTACTTTAGATTTTACCTTTATATTTCCTCTTACAAAATTTTTACCTTGCCTTGCCTGGTATCATTTTTTTCAGCACAACCTCACCTGTGTCAATTTACAGTTATTTTATCATTTTGACATACTATATTTACACATTGGACCCAAATTCACACACAAAACATAAAATCCGAGTGGAAAAAAGTAACGTTTTTACTGTGAAAACCACAAATATGTGTGATGAACTGTTTTTAAAACTTAAACTTCAAATAAAAATTGTAAACTTCAAAACATATGCAAATTTTTAACAAAGAACATAGTAATTTACCTCTATTGACATCAAAATGCAGGCAATGGCCCAGGTGTTCTTTGTAAAATTATTTACAAAACACTGTATAGTCTCACAAATGTCACTTTTTATTTATGCCACTACAAAAAAACATGATGTAAATGATGCATGATGTAAAACATGATGTAAAAAACTTGTGTAGATCCTCCTCTATGTTAGTCCATGTGTAATTTTTCCATAATTCTTTGTTTTTTGCAGCATTTTTGTTAGTGTAACTGCAGATTGTGCTGACAGTGTCTATGGCAAAAAAAAAAAAAAAAACTGAAAATTCCTCAACATGAACCCCTGGTGGTCTCTGAGGGTGAAACCTGCTAACTGCTGCAGCTCTGTCAGCTTCAGTCTCCCATGCAGAGCTCGGAGCGCATGTGTGGCTCTGCACCCTTAGCAGCGTTGCTAACTCCTCAGTAAGGAAAGCCTGCTTCATGTCAGAGTCTCTAAACTCCAGAAGAAGTCGATAAAAGTCACTTTCTTTCTAAAAAAAAGTCGTTAGGGGGTCTGAAAAGTCATTGAATCTAACAACAAAGTCGCTAGGTTTGCAACTACGTGTCCCAGACTGCATCCCTGCTGAGAGTCCCTCCCTCCCTTCTCATATTGCAGGAAGAGCGTAAGTTCCCGCCCCTTGTCAATCAGTCACCATATAATTTTGGATTGGTTGTTGTGGTGAAGTTTTCCACCAATAGGAGAGATGTTGTGGTGTGTATTTTTTTTCCTTTGGCAAGCCTTTTCCGCCTGTAAGACCTGTCGCTAATGTCTGCATGCTATGTTTTCCTGTCTCATACAGCGCGATCGAGCGCCGAACGTGATCAAAATAAGCAGAAAACAAGTATCGCGGACATAATTTATCATAACTCTGGTTTTATTTGGCC